GCAAAAGAGATTAGAATATAGTCTTAAAGGATGGTTCGGCTTTGGGTGGGTTGAGATGAGTAGATGTGCTGCCATATATTCTATGTGGAAAGAGCGACAGAAGCATTAGCATCATGATGGGCAGATATAAGAGGTTTGGGAGTAGTGGAGAGTAATATCCATTTGCTAGTACACAGGCAACATGTCAGAGTATTGCAGGAAAGGACAAAAGGTAAATCATAGAGGAAGTAAAATGTCACTCTAAAGAGTTTGGAATTGCTTCCCTAGCCAAAGGAGTAGTAGTAGAGTTAAACTTCACAGAAAAATAACCTGGCATACTACTAGCTAGACTGGAGAAGGAAGTACTTGAAAGTAGAGAGTTTAAGAAGTAATTGTTGAAATAGTACAAAGAGCAAATAATGGACAAAACTATGGTGCCAATGTTGAGAGTGGAAAAGAATGAAACTGAGAGATATCCCCGAGAGAGAATTCATTAAATGTAGCAGCTATTTGGTTGGGTGTATAATAAATACAGAGAAATCAAAGGTGTCTCCCCAGTTTCTATTTCAGATGACTACCTGCATGGAAAAATAATTTAAAAATCAGAGATGGAATAACAGAGAAGTGATCCAAAGGAATTAAGATGATCAGTTTTGGGCATGATGAGTTTTGGGTAACCATGGGGCATGCAAGTGGAAATGCTTAATTCTCCAGGATAGTTTTATGAAAGTTAGAAATATAATAATATTTGGGGCAATCTGCAAAGTGGTGGTTTTTGCAGCTGTAGAAAGTTGATGAAATTGCCACTAGTAAGAGTACAGACATTAGGAATTATTTCAAGTTCAAGAGCAGCAAGATGAAAAGAAAAAAAGAGTGTAGGCAAGAGGGGAAATATTCTTACACAGTCATGGTTAGGGCTGAGCAAAGGATTTTGTTTGCATTAAGGATTCCTTGAACATTTAATGTGCCTTGAACATTTTCAATAATAAAAGGGGAAAGGACAAGTAGAGAGGGAGAGATTAGAGATGCCAAAGAGGGAGGGTAGGAATAAAACTGCCAGATTACTGACGTGGAGGAGGTGAGAGGGGTCAAGAACACCAGTGAAGGGAGTAGAGGAGATTTTATTTCCTGAGCAATGAGAGAAGTAGAAGAAGATGAAAGAGGATATGGGAAACACATTTTAGAAAGAGAGAAGGGAGGTTGAGGGCGCTCTTGTTGAATAACTGTGGCGAAACCAGAGAAGTGAGAGGCAGTAGCTGTTGAGAGCGAAGGGCAGGGTGACTTGCAAAGAGTAGAAAAGGGTTGGAAGTAGCTGCTGCAGGGAATTCAATAGGGAGTCAAGGAAATGAATGAAAGGATACTAAGTAGTAGCAGTGGGGGTCCAGCTATAGTTAGAATGCCTTGAATTTGAACAGTTAGAAGCCTAAGATTTAAAAGGGAACAATACATCGAGAGAAATAGATAGAATTTACATTCCACACATCTTGTTCCCTAGGACTGTGCAGGTTGGAGTATAATGTGTTAAGAGTTGGCACGTGCTTGTACTTTATGAGGTGTTTTGAGAGTTTCTTTTTTTATATTTTAGTTAGTGAAAGTTCACTGTTCATTTAAGCATCTGATTGTCACTGTTTTTTGACAGTTTTCTTCTCGCTTCAGTGCCCATTCTGAAAACCAGCTTCTTCAAAGGGTAATCCTGCATAAGATTGCCAATGTATTTGTTTATTTTTCACTAGGAGAATACCTCAAACAGTGGAATATTTTGCCTAAGGTCACCAATGAGCACCCTCTCCCTCCAAATTGAGAATGAATTAGGAGAACATGTCAATTTCTTATTAAACCCCAGCAGATTACAGTATTTTAGTGTGTGAGAAGCTATACTTAGGCCCCAAATCATTTCACTGGAATAGTGGGATCTAGAACTTCTTCTGATGAGAAATGCTATTCATTTGTACTAATTTTGTTCTTATTTGCTGGGATGCTTTGTTTTGTGTGGAGATAACTTGCAAACATTGAGTGTTTTCTAAGTTTGAGTTCAGTGCCTCTCCCCGTGGAGAACCATCTCCCAAGGGCGCTCTGTTTAGTGCAGCCTTTTTTTTATGTTGCTTCATACAATTTCAACTTAAGAAGGTGTTAATACACAAAGCTTCCTATGGTCATGTAGAAACCCAGCTTTATTTAGAAATACATTTGGCTTATAGAAGAGATTAAAGTTATAAGGGATATAAACGAATTCTCCATGTGTAATTTCATTGTCTCAATTTCAAAGCATACATAATAGTAAGTAGAAATTGCAGTAATAGAAATAGCATAATGAAAATATCAAGAAAACCCAAGCGTCCCTGGCTGGGACTGCTCAGTTGGTTAGAGCAGAAAAGGTTGGTTAGATGGAAAGGTTGAGGGTTTGATTCCCAGTGAGGGCACTTGCCCAGGTTGCAAGTTCAAACCCTGGTTGGGAGGTATGAGAAAGCAGTTAATCAATGTTTCTCTGTAATCTCTCTCTCTCTCTTCCCCTTCCTATTCTCAAGCAATGAAAAAATGCCTTAGGTGAAGATAAACAACAACAAGAGGACAACACCTGGTTTCATAGATCTAAATGACTAAATCTTTAATTACAAGTATACCTTAAGAAAATTACCAAGTTTATTTTCTCAAAGACTGCAAATGTGAGGGAACTTCAATAGTGACATTTTGTGTGTTGAATGCTTGGGCCTTAACCCTTCAATAATCAATGGCTATTTTTAGCCTCTAGTATTTCTACTAGAATTTGAACCTTAATCTCTGGTACTAATTAAGACATTACTACACAACTGGTAGATCACATTAAATAGATAAAGACATCTAGTTCAAGCCTTTTCTAAAGTTGTCAAAGTGCATTTGATTTTTAGTAGTACAAGTAATAATTGCAGCTGGAAATATTCTAACTTTCCTTTTTATATTTCAGATTTTCTTAAATTTGAAACATCAAAATACATGCGTATTGTCATATTGTTGAAGATTTCAAATCACTCTGCAAATAAAATGGATTTGATAATGTGAGCACAGCAGTCAGTATACTTTTTTAAAATGCAATTAGAGTAATTTTGAGAAAGAAACAACCTTTTCCTTTAAAGTCAAACTTATTCACCTGGAAATTCCAATAACAGTAATTTAAAGGAGGTAAGCCACTTCAACAGCACAGATTAATGGTCATTTCTGTCAGAACACCTGTTGAACACAATTTGGGATTTATCTTTAAAAAAACTGGTAAATACAAACATGTCTGTCAGAGCTTTTTTTTCTATTCTGTTTTGAAAACCTCTACTTTTTGTTGAAGCTTTTCTTGTGTCTGTTATGTCTTCTCAATTGTCCATTTTTTGCTCCTTATTATCTTCCCTCAGTAGTATCAAACTAGCAAAATGAGTAATGCCTTTTAAAAGTGTGTGTGTGTGTGTGTGTGTGTGTGTGTGTGTGTGTGTGTGTGTGTGGCTGGCTGTATGCATTCCAGTCTATTACGTTAGTCACTTACCATTGTATTTCAAAAGCAACTATTATCACAAGTTCTTAGCACTTGACTCCACACAACTAGAATTTGCAACAGTATGAAGGGACTCAAAGGGTAGTTCTTACTATTTGGTTAATGAAATGATAAAAGGAGAAAACACGTTGAAGAGAGAGGCAGAAAAGCCCAATTTAGAACATTTGTGTCTTAAACTTATATAGTAAGGGAGAAAAAAAGCACCCCCGTCCTCCTCTTCGATTCTGCTAAGTACAAGAAGAGCTGAATAAAATTGGTAACTTCCTAATTTTTTTTTATGTTCTGGAAGGATATTGGGGGAGCTATATCATCGGTAGCGTTTTGTAAGGAAAAGAAGCATGGATTTCACTTTCTGAATAACAGCGTCCAGAGAAGAGCACGGGAAAGTAATTAACGTGATTGCAGAGAGTCAGAACTTCGACAAGGAGTCTTAAAACAACTTTGCTACAGTGATCTAACCACCATTTGGCATGTGGAAAAGACCATCCATGCCTTTTCCCTGAAGCGTACCTTACCTACACATTTTTCTTATTGTCAACTCTTGTAGTGCGTTTAGGCACTTGACAAGTGAGAGGAATCCTGAGCTCAGGACGCGGGTCTCTAATCACCTTCGAAGCCCATAGACGAGGGAAGAAAATGTAACATTAAAGAGCGCAAATTCTCGCTCTTCTGTCCTATCCTGTAATGACTGTCTTGCGTTTTAAAGGAACTTTTCCTATCAATTTTAGCTTGGGCAGGGGAATACTGTACTTAAGGGACGGTGACACAAAGCAAAGTCTTGCAGGACAGTGGCAGAAGTGCTGTAAGATGGGGCGTTCGTTTGTCACTCACAAACCAAGTCCGTGTGCTCGCTTTCTGAAGTGTTCGCAGGCTCACCGAGCGAAATGAATGCCAGTGCGTAGGAGCGTTAGCCACCTGCAACCCTGATTTTGGTGCGGTCTTGGACGCTGGTTCCTCTGTGCGCGGGGTCTGGGAGAACAGAACACCAAAAAGAAGGGCCGAACATATTATTTCTGAAGTCACTGGACTTTTTGTTCTGGAAGGTGGGCGAAGCCATCTCTTAACTACTGCGTTTGGGAATTAAGTGGAAGTGGAGTTTCCACTTCCCTTTCCTAGGTTCAACCTGGGGGCAGGGTAGCCCGTGGTTGTGAGGAGACGCTGGTCAGGCGCGGAGGGAAAGGGTTTGTAGCCCAGACCACTTTGGGAGTTCTACAAGATAACTGCATTATCTGGTCAGAGACTAGGCAGAAACTGAGGCACCGCACCGCCCCCTTCGAAGGCTTCATCCCCATTCACCCGCCAACCCTCCAGGGCCTCAGGTAGCTGGGAGGCCGGCCAGGGAGTCTCCACCTTCTGGCAAGCCGCAGCCACTCGGCGCGCTCAGAAGCCGAGGAGATGGAGCCTATTGGCTGAAAGATGCTGCCAATCTTGGAAGGGGGTGTGGCGGGGGTGGGGTCTCGGGTCACCCGGAGTAGGGGCTGCTCACTGCTTGCTGGGTGGTGGTGGGTGAGTTTGAGCGTGAGCCCTGCTACTGTAGACTTGCGAACAGTTCTGAGCGAGCGATTGAGCGCCTCAGAGAGGATAGGAGTGAAGGAGCCAGTGCCAGGGGACCTAGAGGAGACAGGGCGAGAAAGCGAGCGCCGGAGGACCTACAATTTGAGACTGAATGACCATGGCTGTCTCCGCACCTCCGGTGATCTCTGCAACTTCAAGTGGCGCCGGCGTCCCAGGGGGCCTATTTCGGGCCGAACCCATGTATTCTACCCCCGGAGAGCCTCCTCGTCTCACCCCCAATATGATGAACAGTTTCCTGGCCAATAACCACAGCGGCAGCGCCGGGGGTGGCGGGGTCGGTAGTGGCAGTGGAGGGAGCGGCAACACAAACACCAACGAGTGCAGGATGGTCGACATGCATGGGGTGAAGGTGGCTTCGTTCCTGATGGACGGCCAGGAACTGATCTGCCTGCCTCAAGTCTTTGATCTCTTTCTCAAGCACCTGGTGGGGGGCTTGCACACAGTGTACACCAAGCTGAAGAGACTGGACATATCCCCAGTGGTGTGTACTGTCGAGCAGGTCCGGATCCTCCGCGGGCTGGGGGCCATCCAGCCCGGGGTGAACCGCTGTAAACTCATCACCAGGAAAGACTTCGAAACTTTGTTCACTGATTGCACCAATGCCAGGTAAGATACTTGTTTCTTGGCTCGCTCTTTCCCTTTTGCCCTCTTCTGCATGTCGCATCACCATCACGCAACTTTGTCTGTAGGGAATGAGTCTTGACTAGCTTGCCTCTACTCTTCACGCTGTAAGTCTCTGGGGCTCAAAGAGGACTAGAGGGACTCATTAATTAATTGTCCGTCCCTTCTAGTCCGTGCTCAGTGGCAGGGCTTGGGTCTAAGAAAGTCCCGCACAAACTTTAGTTTGCGGTCCTCTGTCGAAACTTTCCCGCCTTTTGCCCATATCTTGCATGGCTTTTTTGGCTGCTTGTGGTTGTTAATTTCTCTATTCAGTTTTCTTTCCTGCTCTTTTGTGGCCACACGGGTCGGAGAGGTTATATCCTGAACAGGGACACCAAGGGCTTTCTGGGCCAGAGGGCTGGCTGAGCTGTAGACCGGGCTCTTAAGCTGGCAATCCAGAACACAGCATTTGGGGGATGCAGAGGGTCGGAAGTCTAGAATCCATCCCAGAGGGTGATTCGTTTCCCATTCTGAGTGTTTGTTGTGACAGTGCCTGGAGTGTGTGGTGGTGGTGGCGGCGTGTGTGTGAGAGAGAGAATAAGGCAGGGACAGAGGGAGGGGAGAGAGAGAGAGAGAGAGAGAGAGAGAGAGAGAGAGAGAGAGAGAGAGAGAGAAAGTGCGCTCATGCCAGCTATGCAAAGCTCTAGGAAAATCCATGAATGCTATTTAAAACAAACAAATAACAACAACACAAATACCCCCACGACCACAGATGTCACTTTCCCAGAATCGTCCCTTTTGGGTCATCTCTAAAGGGTAAAGGGACCGGGTTGGGCTGTGGGATAGAACTTGGCAGGTTTTCCACAGAGGATGCTTTCACCCCAGGCAAACAGTTGGAAAGACCCTATTTCTCTGAAGAGAGGATTCCTTAAATGATGCTGGCCAGCTTCTCTGGTTGTAAGTTCACCTCCTTCATGTCCCAGCTTAGAAGTACCTTATAGAACAAATGTCTGTTTGTGTATGTGCATAAGCAAACTGTATTCAATGTTTCTAAGTTTAAAAAAGGAAGGAAAGAAAACTATATTCAAGATGATTCAATTTTTGACGACTGATGAATTAGTCAATTTTAGTTTTTATTCTGCCTCTAGTCTGCTAATGTCTGTTAGGAAAGTTGCACATTTGGCAGGTGTGATTAACATACAAACCAAGAAATCTTCATCCCTAGGTTAAAGGGGGCAAATGATTTTGTTGAAATGATCAAACCAGCACTACTGTTGATCATTTTGCAGAAAATTTCCCTAGAGGTAGACTTTCTCACAACACAGCTAAATCATAAGGTCTCTGGGTTTAGGTCCTACAACTACCTCAGTTGTCACATTGTTTGTAAAATACAAATTACTCCTATAGCTGAAGTGCACTGACACCTTGCAGGCAAACTGTTGCTGATGGCTACGATAAGATAATGCTAGGGAACTTACAAGGAAAGCTTTTATATTTCCTTTTTCCTTTGAGTGCTGTTCTTCCATGTTCTAGCAATTAAATGGAGACCGTTCATAGGAGAACTCTCACGTGATTCATATCTGGTTTATTGGATTGTATTTTCTTAAGGAAGATAGAGGGCCTTAAAACACAAAGGATAACTGCTCCCTCAATAAAATAAGTAACTCCATGTTGTAAAAGTAGAAAGGATATTTTATCGTGACCACCAAGCATTTTACTAACACACACATTCAGAGGGTTATCAGGGACTTCATGTGAGGGCCATCTGATCCATTTGTTGCCATCCGGAAGACTGGCATTTAAACAATCACAGATAGGGAAACCTATCTTCTCTCTTTCCCTATCTCTCTTTGCCCCTCCCCCTTTCCTCTCCTTTCCTTCTTCTCCCTCTCTTACAAACACCCAATATCTAAAGTCAAAGGATTATTACATGTAGGAAATTCTTCCTACCTTATAATTAACTTTCACATCCTTGAGCATGATTTTCATTTTAAAAAGCAATAAATTAGGGTCTTAATCTGATTTTGACACTTCTATAAATAGAAACTTTTCTTTAATTAATTTTTATTAGAGCTATTTACTGAAGGGAAAATGATAAATTACTCTGTATCCAGGGGCAGGTGTTCTTATACTGTTTTGGGGTCTTGTTATATGATGTGTTTTTAGGTTGTTATTTTAATTCAGTAAATTTGATTAACTCCTTATCACACCATTTATAATGCTAACTTTTTTGGGTGAATTACTTTCCTGTATATGCATAAATATTATAGAGAAATATGGCAAATGTAGAAAGAAATGTATCTGAGGTTTGATGCATGTGCCTCGTATTGCATAGTTTATTTATTACATGTATTTTATGATTGTGTTAATGTGTTGTAGTATATAATTGTAAAAATTTATGAAATATAGTCTATGAATGCAATCTATGAATGAAGATGAGAAAAACTAGAAACACATCTATATTGCAATTTCTAGACAGTTAAGAAAGCCCCACAATATTTGTGAAAATTCTAATTAATGGTAAAATAACATTACAAAATTTTACTAATGTAAAAGGCTTTCATAATCATGTTGTTAAAAACTACTATAATAATGTGTACCTTAAATTATTCTCAACACCTGAGTGATTTAGTTATATTGTGAAATTGGTATTTAGATCAACATTATTTCTATGACATTTCTACTCAATGAAAAGAAAAGACAGGCAGGTGAGGGATGTAAACAGGAATAAGGTTCAAGAGAAACAAAATAAGGTAGATAAGGCATGAAGCTAGTAAGAGGAAAGAGAAGCAGGACATGAGCAGAATGTTGCCCAAAGAGTGAGTCAAAGGTGGGTCAGAAGAGCTTATAAAGATACCCAAAGGAGATGAGCGGTGTACCAATGGAGACTCGGCTAGAGAGGATTGTCATTTAGGACTCTTGACTTTTTAGCACTTCTAGGTACAAGGTGGGGAAAGTGCAAGGGAAAAGTACACGTTCGGTAAATGGAAACTCTTACATATTATTCTAGTTTAAAAAAGAGATTCGTCTCCATCTCCTGATGGATACATTTCCATACTGTATTGTTTTTTTTAAATTATTTTATTGTTCAGGTACAGTTGTTTGCATTTATGGTCCATAATGTATTGTTGAATGGAAGTCTTCTTCATAATTGTGTCATTGGTAATTTTCTTTTTGTACATAATAAACATTTCTTCCCCTCTTTGTCAGATAACTGGGGGAGAGTACAAGTCTTGACTTTTAGGATAGTTTAATGTGAAATGCTTCCTACACTACTCCAAAACACATAAAATGGACCATTTTCAATTTGGTAATTGACAAAGACTTTAGCATATTGGCATTAAGTGGCATTTTGATTTTTTGGCTCAGGGCACATTTTATTAATGTCCACTGAAGGAAGATGCGTGCCTGAGTAAGTACATACACATGATTGTTGCTTTGATAGTACTCACAGTCACAACAAGAACTTTATCAGTTCCTTATAGTAACTATTTTGTTATTAAATAATTATCAAAATATTCAAAGTTGTCTTCCCAGAAAAGAAGTTGGAACATAATACCTGCCTCAGACACTAGAGAATAGCAAGACTAAAACTCTTGACTATTTATTGATCTATTAAATAAGACAAGTTTTACATCATTGCAATTCTAACGGGCTATGCAGTATTTTTCTTTGATGCCCTTTATTTTCTAAAACTAATTGCAGAGATATTATTTTGAGAATTATTAAGAAAATGATGATAGAAAAGATCTAAAACAAATGGGAAAGGTGTTATCTTGTTTTAGATCTTTGTTTTTTGCAGATAAAGCACTGTGATTATTTTTTTATTTCTCATATAAGAGAACTTGGAGTTTTTAATATGAGAGGGAGAGCCAGCAGATTCAGAAAGTATATGTCTAAATATCTCTTATGCAATGGATTTCCCTCACTCAATTCTCCAAAGTTTATTATAGCAGTAAGATAGGAAATTACAAATTGGTATTCAGTGAAAAATCAGCCAACACATTTTAGTGTTATCTCTTTTCATCTACCTATCTATATAAAAGTACCATTGTCTGATTTCATGGTTGGCATTTAACTTTATTTGCAGACCAACTGATTAAATGTTACTTGGTGATTTACATATAGTTAAATGGGTGCTTGAAGTAGCAAGAATGTATGATTAAGGAAATGTTTTAACTATTAAGGAATATATGATTCAACATATATTCAAATGAATAAAATTCAGTTTTTTAAATTACAATTTTAAGCAGTCTAATTGTGATTGATTGTTATTTTGACTGTGTGAACAGAAAATAAATGGGCTTCCATGGTAGAAAAACTGTATGGGAGTTATAAAGACTTTTCCAAAAAGCTAAAACGGCCTTCAAACGCCACAAATATGATTATGTAAGCACTCCATGAGTTTGGTTTTGCATTCACACTTGATGAATACAGTTCATAATACACACAGAATAACATAATTTACTTTGAAATTTTTTGTTTTCAGTCATAGTAAAGTTAGGCAAAATTCAATTTTAAAGAATTTTCATCACTTTCTGGGGCTAATATTTTGTATGACATTTTCAGAAATGATAAAATAGTTTTGTGAATTAATCTGGGCAATAAATAGAGATATTTTATTTCATAGGATAATGAGGGTTAGTCATATTGTCTACAAAGAACAGTCACATAGTCTTTTATTAGCAGAGTGATGTCAAGATTGTAAGATAAGTGATCTAGTCATGTGCCAGTGCACGGAACTTCCACATGTACATTTATTTTAAGTGTATACTTCTACATCATCAACAATTTTGGTTTATCTAAACACTTTATCTGGATTTCATATGTGTCCCAACCCCTTATATATTACATTCAAGAAATGATGCATGATATGATGGAGAATATCTGTGGATACTTATACATGATATCACCCTCCATGTATAAGACATGAATGCCAATAAATAATTGGGAAGTGAGAGTCTTCAGACATTCATGGGTTTTTTTTTTCCACGCAGGAAATCTCT